CATGGAAGTGGCAAATCGGCACTTATATTGATCGATTAATAAGCTTCACGGCGATTAACTCGGATGATAGTTTTATGAGAAATAACCTTATATTGGAGATATGGACCTAATCAAGCGCGATTCAGAGCATACAAAATACAAAAAAACATAAAAACAAACAAAACAAAATAAACAAACAAAAAAAAACAACTAACTAACCGATTTAGTAACGATATAGGCCATTTGATAAGCGATAAAGTAAGACTTAACTGAAAAAAATAAAAATAAAAAAAGCCTGAGATCTTAGCCTGGAAAACAAGGAATCGATTACTTATTTGGTTTGCCCACGTACTGAATTTGACTTGATAGAATAGATGAGTAGCAGTGTGGAGAGAAACTATGGCCCAATCCCGAGTAGAAGTTGGCGCAGTAGAATCTACACCTGAAATGAACTAACCGAGTAAAACCTCGTAAATATATCTAATCAAATAACACGCAAGCTAAGCCAGCGATAATAACTATTTCCTGACGGAAATAGCAGCCGGGGGCTGGTAAACTTCGGCAGATTAAACAATTACTTGATAACATCAATGGTATAGTAAGTTCATGCGGCAAGAACTGAGTTAATATCACGTTAAAAAACCGGCAGATCGTCCGGTCGAAAGAAAAAAGGTTAGCTCGCCTTGTCTGTTTTGCCCTTCCCCGCCAGCCTTAAGTTGTCGGTCCAAAATGCATATATAGCATCCTGATACCTCAGAAATTTTGCCTCACCCGTTATCATGGAGATTTCGTTCATTTCGCACCATCTTCTCTTTTTTTCTCAAAAAACCTGTTAGCAGCTCAATTTGCATCGCAATTGAAATCTGTACCTTATAACTCAATTTGACAGAAAATTAATACAAAATAAGCTGCATTAGCTTGCCTTTGGTGCTAAAATAATCCAAGGTCGTCAGTTAGGGAAACTAAGCGCACGTCACCATAATTTCGTTGTGTTTCGCAGACTGGATGATCGTGTACATTATAGCTGCTTCCTCAGTTTTCGTGCCTGGAATCGGCGGGATAATATGGGCTGTGTTTATCTGCGTGAAACGATGAGAGAATGATTAATCCTGTGCTCTAAAGGCCTGAAAAAACGTCATTCTCTGGATAACGTTCTCTAATATCAAAGCCCGGCTGTTCGACAATAACTTAAGGTTAAGAAAGGGACTTTCATTTCTTTAAAAATTACATATTACACCTGAGGGTGAAGCACTCATACTGTATTTAGAGATTTAGGTCTCGAAACTGTTTTGTTCGCTGTGTGCTTATTTGCACTTTAGAAGCTGAGAGGATAAGATTATATCAAAGTTATAGTTAAAGTCTCTGGCGGTTTAATAAAACAAAGTTTAGCCGTTGTTTTTAACAAAACAGCGTTCTAAACTATCTTGAATATAGCTGAATCTTTTTTCTGAACATATGTTTTTGTGAACAGCGTCAAGAGGGCTGAAAGCTAACCCTCTTTTAAATGATACCTCAAGCCCACTGCTTGCGTAAAACAGCGGTTTGGATTACACCTAGTGTTGATAACCGGCCCTCTGTTTTTTAGTTCTTATTGGCTCAGAAAGTGAGCAACATTCAATAGCATTCTAATCAGTCATTTTTAATAAAAATTAAGTATTCGAAACTTGACGAGGATTTCTCTACCCGTCATGTGTGAGCACATTGACAAAAGATTTTGTATATTTAGGGGATTAAATTCCAATAGAAAGAGCTTCGCTGCCATTTTCATCTTTGGCTTTTGCCATCGTTCTCAACTTTCTCATTTTGAACAATTAAATTGTTCTACAATTAGTTTTTCTTCTCATTACGACTGGATTTTATTTTTCCGTATATATTTTCCTACGGTAGGCACCCCGCATTGGTCTGAGTGTCCCGTTCATGCCCACTCTTTTTGGGTTTTAATTATTTATGTTTCCATATTTTTTTTTTCCGTTTTGGTCTTGCCCAATAAAGCTTGACACAAATATATAAAACTAGTTACCAACACTATCTATAGCTGTGTGAATCCATGTAAGTTTAATTTGCACGACACGAAAGCAGAAGTCTCTGTTTTAATGTCCATAAATGTGAGATCAGCATCCACCCCTGACTTGCAATTTTGCTGTCATGATTCATGTTGCAGACAAGGCTTTGTAAACAAAGGAGAATGCTGAACAATGACGAAGATGATGAAATGCTTCCCAAAGGTAAGACTCACAAATGAATATTTTATACTTTGCATCGACTAACGGTCCAGAAAAGACTTCAAAATGTTCAGCAGGCTTTAGAATCGGCGGTGAATTAAGTTGCTACAGTCGAGAAGATTGATGGTCACTTCAAACCATAATGGCATTAGTGTAACCTCTAACTAAAATGCTCTTTGGTATGCATACAACCGCTGGTCATTGAGAGTGGCGACTTGGATTGCAAGTAGAGGAAACTGATATTGCACTTTTTAAATACGGGCCTCGTGAAAACAACAACAATGAAAAAAGCTATACATAAAAAACGTTGATGATACTTAGCGATCCCTTCCTCGTAAAATTTTACTGTTTTCGCGTTTTGCGCCCCGAAACGTCTGTAAATTCAAATAATAAAAAGCCGTTTTCCAGGTAAATAGCACACCCTTACACGATTTTGTTTGTGCAGTAAACATTGCGATCAGCACTACGAAGTTCCAGTTCAATTACCTTCTCTTTCCTAAATTGATTTTTATTCCAGCGTTGAGAAAGCTCGTATTAGCTACAAAAAATGTTATACCGACAAAGCCCTCTAACGTGTTCAACAGAAAGGACATGCGGGGCTTCTGATGAATGTTTGCCTCAGTAATTTAGACCTTTTTAATTAATTTCCATATCGCAGGTGGTCAACAAGCATCCAGCTTGCTTTTTAAAGCCACCGAAAGTTTAAATACCCTTTAGGTTTCATGTAACTTTTATGGCTCTTTTTTTGGCGAAGTTTTGAACCGGTGGAATTATTCAACTCTGTGCACTGGAAGTAATGTGCAGCCAAAATGATCAACACTGGAACAACATTGAACATGTACTTGCTGCAAACTTATTTTACGCTAATATTACAATGTAGAATACTTATTTAATAAATATATTTGAATATAATCCTTACGCTTTGATTGTTGATGTTAGAGCCTGGCTATATACATCTTTCCCCGATGCTTGTCGAACAAAGCATTGCTTTTAGCGTCCCATCTGTACGCAACATTTATAAGGAGCAGTTTTAGACATCACTACGCAGTTTAACCAGCAAACCGCCCGAAGTTGGTTTTACGTGTACCTGACAACCAAGAACGTGCTTGCAAAAGCTAATTGGGGAAAATGTGACTGAGAAGCTATCACTTATGCAGGAAACGCCATCTAGCTTACCACGGACGTGAAGGGTTTGGCCATGGTCGCGGCCCACTGCGTTTGGGCCCTTTGTTGACATCAATGAAATCAATTAATTTTTGGAGCTAGCGTGAAATGCTCCTTATTGGGATCAGTCATTATCAATCGTCTGGCGGGAGGGGGGATCCCATGGTTTTAAGGGGGCACAGGTGGGGGATCAGTCGTCACCAATGGAGTGAGTCAATACGCTCGATACCAGCAGAATTTTAATCCTACATACATTCATACATACATAACTTTACTTCCGTTCGAAATTTTAGAGTAGCATAGTGGTGCTAATTTCTCCGAACAAAGAAACTGTCTAAATGAGTAAATAGGTAAGTCTTATTCATGGAAAACACTAATTCAATTTCATAATTATATTTCAATAAATGAAACCAATCAAATATATTAAATAAGATAAGTAAGGGCTACTTGTTGCTAAACAGTAAAATGATCAATAGTCTCAAATACAATTTTAAAATCTTTAAAATCATTGAGGCTCGAACATATTCGTCTAAATCGTTCCATCTTTTTGCAGCAGAATATATATAACAGACGGATTGTATGACATAACAATACTTAACTTCCTTCGTGTAACTCTATTTTAAATGATATGAAGCAGTTCATATTTTTCGCCGTTGAATACGAGCCATATTTATATACAATCAATAGGCTCCAAAGAAAAATTGTCTACAGGTTCTTCCTTTGAGATCAGCTATAAAAAATGTAAAATACAATTACTGTCTAAGTTTTTGTCCTCTTTTTGTTATTTGCCACAATGCTACGAAACGCTGGGGAATTCCTGCTATTTCTTTGTGTGTTCGAGATGATTTATGCTTAACGATCTGTTTTTTACAATGACTTCGATGAAGTATTTTACTTCCTTTCGCCTTTTCTTTTTACTCTCTCTACTTAGTAGAGATAGACCTCTGCTGTTATTAATAAATAATCGAATTCTTCGTCTTCTGTTGTGAACCCTGAAACAATACTCTTCAGCCGCTGTAACAGGTCATGTTCTCTCTTACGTAATTTACGGAAGGAAGACTCGACGACATCCTCTTGAAATCTTACTTTCTTTTTTTCTCTACGTTTGCTGCAGTCGTCATTGCTTTCACCTTTCAGAGATTTTAACATGTTGCTTATCCTGTCGAACAATGCTTGTCTCCTTGTACTGCATTGCTGTTTATCTATTGTTTCTCTGGATCTTTTCTTCCTCCAAGCTATGATAGCTTGACTTATTAAATCAAAGTTAAGATTGGAATTGTTCGTGAGGTCAAGGCCAATGTTTCCAGATTCTTTGTCCTTCACTTCTGCTGACGTTTTAGAGGTTCTCGACTGTTTCAACTTGTTACTGATTGCATCGAAAAACTCTTTTCTTTCTTTTGAGCTCGAGCAACGGTTCTCATCGATAAGATCATACAGCTCACTTTCGCTCACAAAGTTCTTAGCATCCAAAAGAGCATCGTTGATTATGCCAATAAAGAAGTTCATACAGAGAATAGTGAGAGTAAAGAGAATTAAGAAGGCGAATATTTTGGCGTATATGGTGTCGGCCTGTGCTAATTCATTGATTGGTCTAGCTTTCACTCGACCAAGAGTTAGCTCGAGTTGGAAATAGGCTCATTTTAGCACCGAAGAGTAGCGCCCAGATACAGAGCCAAACACTAAGACACCAAAGTGCAAAAATGCCACAAAGAAAATGGATAAAACGATGCTAAAGGATAACAAAGATCGTGCAGATATCTTCAATGTTGCGGAGAATAGAGCAACATAGTTGTTGAAGCGAGTGATTCGCAATAGCTTGGTGGTAACGATGAAAGTAAGAATTCCAAGTACCACATTTTCCACTTCTTGGCAAGTGATAGCTTCTTGGAAACTTCGATTTTCGTAAATGTTTCTATGCAGTTTTCTCATGGTTGAAATGGTTTTACTTTGTCGTATTATGTACATCACCACGGAAATCAGAGAAAAAACAATTTGAAATATCTCGACCCAATTACAGATAGACTTGAAATATCGAGAACGATGACTGTAAAGTCTGAAAATTTCCCTTCCAAAATACAGAAAAACGAATACAATGTACAGGAACAAGCAAATCAAATAAAACTGATGCGAGGGTGTGCCTGTAGAATCAAGTGAAAGAACACGAATTTGCATGGAGGCTGCTCTCAGTCCAGATGCATCAACTTCATAGAAGTATGTGGCAACACTTAAAATATTCACCGACGGATTGAATGTGGAAAACTCTGCCAGGACAACTCTGGTTTGCCTGTCAAGCCAACCGTTGTTTTGTAAATTTGTTACTATGCTGAACCCCGTATGGTTATCATAACCGAGGTCTGCTACAAATCCTCCTCCATAATAAAAGGAGAAATGTCCCCACCTGGGTGAAGTGTCGGTTTTCTCGGCATGTTGATATCGCCATGGCTTCGGGCAAAGTTGTAATAACTCGTCACTCCTCGCAGCATTGTCGACAGGCTTCCAGCCTGGTTTGTTGTAGGCGGTCTTGTCTTCGTTCTTTGTCGAGTATCCTTTGAAACATTCTTGGAACGATGTTTCCATATAGTTTAGGACTTTACATTGCGCTGAAAGTTGGAACAAAAGCTCATGATTAGGAAGTATTTTTTGGCATTCATTTCACTCAGGGATGACACATTTCGTACTTTTAACAAATATGGACATCTCTTGTTATGGAGAATTATTAGAAGCCTTCAAAGTAGCATTTGCTTTCGGAGGAAAGGAGCGCCGTCATCAAAACCTAAATTTAATCAACGTTCATAATAAAACGCAGCTACCTAAACACTCGTCTAGATAATTGTCAGAATGGTCAGGAGTCGAGAAAATTGTAACCAGTGCATATTCAATATTTTTTCTTTAAGAATTTCAATAAGCTATTGTTTAACTCTATAATTAAGTTTGTGCACCGATTGCTACTCTATCAGACAAAATTATATATGTATAACTATAATATGTGAAATGACGTGTGTGGGTAAATAGCCTTTCACTGAAATGCAAAGAGGAATAAAAATGGAAAAAAAACTTACTCGCTTTCACTCTAAGTTGCCTTACTCGAGCCATTCCGACGAGAAGAGATTGTTTATTACCAATAGAAATTGTTTGCTCATCGCTTTGACCGTTGTACCATCTTCCGGAAAACACACCTGGGATGAAAACACGCTGTAACCAGCTCCAGTACATTGTATTGTTTGTCACCTAAATTAGTACAAGATCATTGGGTTAAACTAAATAAATAAATAAATAAATATATATATATATATATATATATATATATATATATATATATAAATGAATTGTTAATTGAATTGTCATCAGTTAACAAGGGTAATGAACTCGTGTCTTCATACCTTCACAGAAACAAAGCGTTACTGCGCAACAGCTGAACAAAGCACCTAAATTTACCGCCACATTTATTATGCAAATTTTATAGTATATCTTCGATGGTTACAAATATTCTTTCCATTAAAATCCCCCGAAGAATGATCTAATCACGAAACAGGCTTGTCGAGAAAAACCTTGGTCTCTGTTTTTTTTCCCTAGCTTAATTCATATCACGCTGTACTTCCATGTATCAAGCACTGTAATACGGGAAAACCGAAACATAGACTTCCTATATATATATATATATATATATATATATATATATATATATATATATATATATATATATATATATATAGATTTTTTTTTAAGTATAGCAGTATGAATAGACGAGCTGAAGTTTGAGTCACACAAGCGAGTTACTATTTATGGGCGTGTCTTAGACTATTATTCTCACTTGCTTATTTTCATTGCACCCATCCCCTCAAATATTATGTTTGCCGCTTTCTGGCTCTTCTCCTATAGCAGAATTGAATGCCAATGTCTTCATGGGATTATACATCTATTGCTTGGAATTTCTTTCCAGTCCTAAATTTGGGTCTCGCGCACTAATATATCTCTTGTACCCTGTTCTAAAGGGATATTCCTACTCAAAATATCCATTACAAAAGCAGAAAATGCCTTAGTCAGTTCTTGAAGAGGCCGGCAAAGTAAAATTTTACTTCATATATTTGATTTTGGATCTCCATGGGAACGAAAAGTCGTAAGATAAATTAAACACGCGAATTTCAGCAATGGATTTATCATAATCAAATAATGTTTACTCACCTTGCCAAAGTTTGGTAGTCCATCCTGGATTGATTTCGTCATCAAGTACCGATGGTCATTTCTGTTTCCATAGCACACTGCCATAAGCAAGAAAACGAAGACCAAGTATAAACCCAACTCTGTGAAATAACGTGCCACGTTCTGTTTCTTAGCCTGTCGTCTCCTCATCTCCTCCACATCTGATAATTGCAGTGTCCAAAAATGTTTCTCATAGTACCCAGTTTTAACCTGTTGAGGGTTTTCGCAGGCGTGTACTTTTGATCTCTTCGCCTTTATCTTTAAAATGGCCGCAAATGTTAAAGCTGTGAAGAACACCTTTACTGGTTCCTTGATTGTTACGTCCTGCGCGAATGAGATAAGCATTGAAGACAGCCACTGCTCACTGACACTCTTTTCCCAAATTAGACTGTAGAAAATTGAAAACGCAGCCGAAACAGTACAAGAAAAAAACAACAAACACCAAGCGATACCAGAGATCAGGGTACCTTTAAGACAACAGTCATTGTTCGTCGCAGACTTTTCAGCTCCTTTCTGAAACAGAATCACTATGACAATGTTTATGGGTGTCACAACAAGCGCGCTTTCAATTTCAGTTACCACTTGTCTCCACGACATTTTCAGCGGTCCGAATTGGATAGGCTGTTCATATTTGCCCTCTAACTTGTAGAACATCGCGTTAGCAAACATAGATGTCAAAAGCACTGAGAGGCAGCAAGAAAGCCGCTGTACTCTTGTAAAGCGGCTTTTTCTCAGCTTGGCTGCTACTGAAATCCAAATATGCCACTCCGCGAGTCCTCTTCTCCAACGTCTTGCAACTTCATTGCCAAAATCCAAATGATTTGAGGTCTGGTCGATTACTCGCTCGATGCGCCCATCTCCACGCTCAAGAGCAAACCAACGACTGGCTATGAATTTCCACGACTGCTTGGATTGTACGTCCCGAATCAGGATTTCTTCTAGGTACCACGAGGGATTATCTCCAAAATTATCATGTCCAATCTGCACTCCTTGAATCGCACCAAGTGATTTGTTAACATAAAGTACAAAAACATTTGAATTACCTCGTGAGAATAACGTATTCACTGCACCAGGCTCTTCTTGGCTAAGCTGAAGAATGCCACTCTTTCCATCAGAACCATAAATCTCCAAAGCAACATGAGCAGTCGTGCCTGAGTTTTTCCAAACCCCTGTTGTAATCACTATATTATATTCATAGGCACTGCTTGAAGGTGATGGAAGTTGGATCGGTAATTCCTTCTAAAAAAAACATAATAAAGCATGAATTACTTGGCTAGCTAATTTATATTCTTAATTCGCTGTTTTGGTTCCAGTCCAAAAAAAAAAACTTTTTGTAAACTGTCACTTCATTTTTTCACTTTTAAACATCTTTTTTTTTTCAAGGATATTTCTCAACAAAATTTCTCTAAAAACTCCCAGGGGTGACCAACATGCAACTTCTCCCAAAAATATCCGTACATTATCCAGGTAACAGGTCATGAGAATACTCAAACAAAGATTTTGTTATCTTGATCTATTAGCAAATTGTCATGACTTATTTACAAACAAATTGTATAGCAACTGGAGGGAGATTTAAGAACAAAATCATGGGAGTGAAATGGTCATGCTGGAGACCATGCTCCTTTAAAACAACAGTCCTAAGCAAAATCTCGCTCGACACTCACATTTTTCGCGTCTTCCTCGTCGAATTTCCTTACGATAACAAGCACAGTCACATAACATAATAAAATCACCGCAATAACCACAATTACTGCGATATTTCCAGTTTCTGATAACTGCTGAAACTCGACTAAGACCTTGTCGAAGTCAATGGGATTCGGTTCCACTAAAAGAATTCCCCCAAATGATGTCAAGTGGCTACAGCTACAGCTTAAAAATCCATCTAATTCTGCTAAAACCTGAAATCATAAATGCAAGATGTTAATGATAAAAATTATCATTTTGGCTGTCACCATAAATCACACTGCATCTTTTTTGTTTTAAGGCGCTTCTATGCCTCAGTTGGCTATCAAATCGATTAGACTGTCGTCTGAAAATGTTCTCTAATCAAAGATTAGCCTGAATTAAATGATAAGCGTAATGAGTGAAGATTATTACAATACCAGAACACTTTTGCAAACATTACTCGGGAAAGCTCAAATTATCTGAATAGTGTTGAATACGATTCCAAATTAGATAAAAAAAGATTGCGCTGAAAAGCGTTATTTAATTTTCACTTACTCGACAACCAGATGATATCCACTTGTCACATGTTTCTGACCAGTAAACACAACTACCCAAGGTCACCTTCAGAGTGTAGTTCTGGTCTGTTGTGGAATCATAAACTGACATCACAGGGACATTTTCACTCTGGGGCGGGGCAGGTGGTGGATCTTTGAATTTGACGCAGGAGCGCTTCCTTCGCCTTCCACCAAGACAAGATCTTTTCTCCCTTTTGTGAGATAAGTTCACTGTGGCATTGTAATTTTTTAAGCCGAGAAAGTATTTCCCAGGACGCTCAGCCAGAACTTGTATCGGCGCACGTGGATTCACGAAGCAGACCGGTTGCCCGTCACTTTCGTCATGTGCGCTTATCATCCAAACACACTTTTTGTCATAAGAGATAGTAGCATTGAGGTCGTAGTTTTGAGTTGTCGGTCGCTGACCAAAACGCATATAGACAAACAGATGTACGGTTGGATCTTGAGGTTTGATATCCAGCATCAACAGGGTGTTTTCATACTTGACGTTTATCTCGTGGAAACGTAGATCATCGTTCTTTGTGAAATACCATGACTTTTCTGAAGCAGAGATTTTCTGAAGTTTTAGAGGCGTAACGATAACAATGTCTTCCGTAAGATTTGATATTTTAATAAGCTCGCTGTCGTTGTTTTTCAAGTGCAGGGTCACAACATCAGAGCCAACTCGCTCCTTTGTGGCGTCCCAAGTGTAAGGGTTGAAAGAAAATGAGAGCATCTAAAAGAAGAATAATTAAGAATTTTGCTTGTTTGTTCTGTGGACTGCTATAATTGAACACGTAAACATAGTACTCCGTCTTACTATTAATCATAAGTTATCATAAGTTGAGATCAAAATAAAACTGAAAATATACTTGAAAAACAACGAAAAATAAACAACATTTATGTGACTACTTCGGTCACTTGACTCGATTCTTTTTTGCTGCCCATGTGCCAGAGTTGAACACGTCAAAAGCAAAACAAGAAATATGATTGCTGGAGGCAATAAGCAACATTTAAGGTACATAAAGTGTTATTTTAACTTGACTGGTATCGGTATCTGCAAAAAAAAAAAAATTGGATTGAAATTTTCCTGAAGGGCAGGAATACTTACCTGAACATTTACAAAACTTGTTTTGTTTACTCCTGAGAGTAACAATTGGCTTTTAGACGATAAGATAAACCGGCCTTTTCATGCTTTTATTTTCAGTTCTGAAAGTCTATGAAGGCTGTATCTTCCAAGTGTCATGGATAGTTGTCCTGCCGTGAATGATATCGTTCTTTCATCAGGTACTGTCAAGGCCAACACTGAGTCTGCAACTTTCTCGAGGGTCTTCATTGAAATCTTCACCAGTAGTTTACCCTGTAGAAATTTCATAAATAACCATATAAAAACAAACATACAAACAAAAAATCCTGACAAGGTCCCAAATATGAATGAAGAAAGGAGTACCGGTTAAGTTTACAACAATCATCAATGGACCATTCGCCAATGAATATAGACTAATGTATATTACAGTACCAGTTGTTGAAAACTTGATTTGAAGTTTTCTGATGCAATCACTGCTGCTGCCTTCAACACGCTATTAAGACATGAAGCTAAGTTTTCTGCTAATTGCTTTGTCAGTGGTATGTCTGCTACGTCTTGTTTCTGGGAAAGAGACCATAGTCGTGACGTCATTGAACTGATAGCAGATAAGGAGAAATTCTGTGGAGTGCAAATGAATTTAAATGAAGCTAAAAATGCTTGCTTTCAGATTTCTTTCCTATGACCGTCCTAGAGACAATTTGTGGCGAATTAGTTAAAGTATGTACAAAACTATAGGTTGGTTCATTTGATAACGCAATAGTTGCTTGTTTTTATGCTTGTTCATTTCCGTTTTCTTCGTCTTTGCTGTTGTTGTTATTGCTGTTTTTCTGAGCTTTTCTGGTCAAATAGTTTCATGGTATGAAAACTTGACGTAACCACCAACGCTATTCCAGCCCTAAACAATATTACGTAATTAACTTACCAAAAACTGATGGGGCACTTTCTCCAGAACCTGAAGAGCAGAGCCGATAACTGATGATTTTTGAAGCAGGTCGAAGACAGTTTTCGTTTCCAGGGGCGAAATTTTATCTAGGATGTCGTTCATCACCTTAAACAACCATAAAGATTTTAGCTTAAAGTTATTTAAACCAGTAAAGAAATAGGCAACCAGACTGTATCCCCCATGTGAGGCTCGTTCCAAAGATATAGATCTAAAGGCATATTTAGACTCAGCGTATCAGGTTTCCCTATGACATTGCCAGTTAAAACCCATCAAATGATTTGCAAGGGCATGATTGATCTAAATGCATCAAATCACCGAAAACGTCTAAGCAAAAAAAAAAAAGGAATATTTGGTGATTTCTGCCCATGAAATGTATTTTCAAACCTCAATTTCAAGACGTTATAAGTATTCCTTTGAAATTTATTCAAAGCATTCTCCTCAGCATTCTTCGTTCGTTAGAACGGAAGGTGAAACGCGAGAATAATGGAAAGTCAACGCTTAAAATGCACGAAATGATTCTCGTGTTACAAAAACATCAGATATTTAACTCATAAGCCTCCATTTTTCTCAAAAGTATGTTGATATATTTAATGTATTATACTTGTCTGTTCTACGAAAGTTGATTTTTTTTATTGTTATTATTTTCTTCATATAAAGGTCTTCTCATTTTTTTGCACGTTTGGCTCTTGGCAAACTCTTTGCTTTTCGGATACTATCAGAATGAACTAGTTTTGTTTCACTTTTTAGATAACGAATTGGGTTTGAAAAGTACCTTGTATTTCTCCTGCAAATCCATTGAGGTTTCATGTGAAACTGATAGAAGTAAAGCGTTTGCTATTAGCGCCGCTTCTCTCAGGTTTTTGATCTTAATGAATTTCTCACGAAGGTTTGCGATAAAATCGGGTGTTACATTCGGAGATGGCTTGATCTGCAAAAGTCAAAAGTAGTTATCTATAACGATAATTAATCTATTACTAATAAGGACTAAAAGAAATCAAATATTCTCACATCCTTTCACGCTAAACATTAAACTAATGGTTAGCGACCTACCTGAACTTTCAAAGGGACTGGGTAGGCGGAAATTCCACAATTGTAGGTCACTGTAGCGATAACTTTGACAGTAAAATTATCTGTACTGATCCCAGGTGGTATCCAAGAGGTAGTTATGTTGTTGTTAACGCCACGATATAACACATTGTACAAGCCATTCTCTAGCCTGTATTGAAACTGGTAGGACAGAGGGGTGTTGTCACTTTCCCAGTTGCTACAGCTCAGACTGAAATTAGTCTCCAGTGAGATGCCGCTTGGCGGAGTGATGGAGCAGTCCCCCCCTCTAGGGGGTATTGCTGTAGGGGTTATTGATGTAGAAAAATCGTAAGTATTACTATCAGTCTCAATCCTTACACATAATAGACCATTAACAGAGTCAGGGGAAAAATTTATGCGCCAACAGCTGCAAAATTTCTTTCAATTACCGGTACACAAAAGTTCTAAATAGACCTGTGATATCTAACACCGGGAGTTCCAGATATATTGAAAGAAAATAAAATTTAGTCGAAAAATTAGAATACAGCGTGAGCTGGAAAAGCAAGATTATATAAAAAAGGAGTATACTCATACAGGTTATTTTAATGAGAAATCTAAGCAAAATATTCGCCGCATTTAACCCTTTAACTCCCAGAAGTGATTAACATGTAACTTCTCCCTGTGATATCCATACATTATCCGACAAAACAGGTAATGAGAATACTCAAACTTATCAGATAAAAGTTGTGTTATTGATCTAAAATCATATTCTTACAACTAACTGAGAAATGTGTGGCAGCTAGAGGGAGAGTTAACAATTAGATCTTGGAAGTTAAAGGGTTAACAGTTTTTTCAACATCGATCAAGACTTATGTACAACTACCGATAATTTATGAGTGTTAGCCTACCTGGAACGAAGTAGTATAAGCAAAACAAGTTGCAAGGATAAACATGTACAAAACCAAAACAAGTTGACATGTGAATTGTAAATAAAAGTTGTTAGTGTATGCATTTTACATGGTGTGTTTTGATGAGTGAACTGACCGCGTGCCTCACAACCACGCCCACCCAGGCGCGCACTCGGTATTTGTGACGTCATCAGAATGGAATGTGAAAATACTCGATTCTGATTGGTCCATTTGTACCACGAGACCAAAATACTCGATTCTGATTGGCTACACGCTATACCGACCCACTTATACTACTGAACGATAACCTTCAAATACAGTTTACGCATTAATCCTTAAAACCCTTCTAACAATGACTCACATTTAATGTCTCCCTACAGTACCACCCCTAAGTCACACATTAAGCCCATGAGAATAAAAGAGATGATCACCAACTAAAGAAGCTTTTGATTGTTCTCCTTGATTCACCCACAGGGGGTGAGAGGGATAATCTATGTACCCCTAAGCTCCAACAACTTTTGAAGAAGTACGTATGGCAATCATGCAGTTACAACTATGATTAATATAAGTGAAAAGTTTCATAACTGACAAATAATCATTACAATCATTGAACCTTATGCATTCTAACAAAAACAGGGTCAATAGCTCCAGAGCTTCTCTCATACATTCGTGTTTACAAAAAATCATTAACTTTTCTTCTCAGGGGGTGAGGGGGGTTCCACTATAAATAAAGTAGTTGTGCCAAGCACAAATACATCATTTCAGTTCTCATTGTACAGTTCAGATGAAAGGTACATTCCTGTATTGGGACTGACATTTCAATTTCCTCTGTCAGCAAACTGTTATCATCAGAAGTACAAGCCAAGACGTATTTACCAATTAAGCGCTCAAGTTTCCCCAAAAGTCACCCTTGTTACGAAGAGTAGATTTCACTACTTTTCCGGGCCATCTTCAGCTGAACCATCCTGTTACACGTGAAAACATAAAATGTTACTCTCATGATTAAATACTGAGTTGAATAAACTGATTACTTTTTTACAACCCGCTTCCTTTAATTGTCCTCCAGAAATACTAAATGATGTTGCATCGAAGAGAAATGAAGAGAGTTACTGAAGTACTCCATTTTAAAAGATAATTCAACCTTGATATTGCCTCAAAAACATCTCTTAATCTAAATTACAGTTACCATTTCATGCAAACAAGCCATGATGAAACGGTGTCAATGAATAAATCTAACCAAGTTTATAACATAGCTAGTATATTTGTCTAATCAAATTCAATTGCGCGAGCGTGCTTCGTATTCCTATTGTGCACGCTGATGACGTCAGCAAACAAATCCCTCGAGAAAAAAGTTTTTCCATCTGGTTGAAAATGTTATAAAACAATTGGTCCATACGTCAGCTGTGCATTCATCGATGAAGCACGCAGGAAGTTTGGTGAGCACTCAAAAAGCTGGAGTTGCTCACGGCTACGCGTCGAGCAACTCTTACGCATCTTTCGTGCTCTCCAAACTTCCCGCGTGCTTCATCGATGAACGCACGCTGACGTAAGAACCAATAGTTAATTGAATGTAAAATCCAAAATCTAATTAACCTGCAGATGAGTAGGAAAAACTTCAAACATATCACAAGTCAATCACCAATATGATCTTCATGTACAGGTATAGTCACTTCAGTTTGATTTTTTAGCTCATTCATGCTGAAAGCAATGAATGAGATATTGAGGTAAAGCAGATGTTGACGGAAGTTCTCGACCGTGGACGGAAGTTGTATTCCGTGGACGGAAGTTGCACTGCAGACTGTGAACGGAAATAGTCTCGCATCCCACCCCTCACCACTTAGTAAAAATCTAAATTAATTTCGGTGAAGCTCAGAAATTCACGCCGAAAAATATAAAATGTTTGTAGGGTTTGATAAAGATAATAAGCACAAATTACAGTTCCGAATTTCTAAAAATGCAACTTGAATTGAGAAGCCAAAATGTCTACACCTAGGGGACCCGTGGCGAGCTCATTTCAACACGCTGTGATCACGCAGAAGGGTATCAGAGGCAGCCATATTGTTAAGCCGCGCAAGCGTTCGTCTTCAGTTGGTATAAAGTAATCATTGCTCCATGATTGTGCTTGTCCTCGGGAGCTTTTCAACATACAGTCCACACATCAATCATAGCGGCCAAGATAGTCTCACTAAAGATAGTCTCACTAAAATATATTTTCGAGCCCCAATATTTCGGTCCGGACTTGAGGCTCCCTCGAACAAAAACAGCAATGTAAATCCGGTCGGTACAAAATGCAGACTGCAGACTGCAGACCGGGTACGAAACGCAGACTAGGTACAAAATGCAAACTGCAGACTGGGTACAAAATGCAGAATGAGAATTTATACTTTTTTCTTGGTCCTCAACGTTCAGGGGTATACACACACTGATTTGCGCATATGTGCCTTATATTGTTATTGGCTTACATGAGACCTCTGCCCATCCCACCTCCAGCCCACATAACCTTTTTTCCAATTCCCATCACGACGAATGCACAAGTTTTCTTAACACACAACTGCGCAAAAATAAAATAAAATTTATTCCAAAAGTCTTGAAAGTTCACATAAACCGAATTTAACTGTACCTATATTCAGCAAGTCCAAGAAATCAATGCAAATGAATGAGCTGGCTCCAAGAGCCCTTTGATTTGGTGTTGTGTGCTTTTTCTTGCAACCATATATTTTTAGTATCTATAAGTGAGTAAAATTTGAGAAGCAATATTTTACAAGCTGACCATTTGAGAAGAAGTCTACCTCGGTAATTTACGATGCAATATATAATACAATTCAAGGAAACCCTTTCCAACTGATTAAAGTTTATTTGATCAAAAATATGAAAGGCAATGGAGAAAATTAGCTAGCACAATTGAAGTTTCCCTCCAGTATTCTGTGATTTTTTTTTCTTTCGGATGATAAAGTTTACCTTAAAATTTCCCTAATTTTACAGTCGAAATTTTGAAAAAACTTTGAGTTATTGACGATTATTTGTGGCCGTAAGATTGCAATATGTGAGCAAGATTGCAATACGTTCAACCTTGCGTGAAGAACCCTTGAGTGTTTGAGTGTGTTACATCTACACTAATTTCAGATTAATGTCCTTCTTCAAAGTTTGGAAAAGAACTGTTGACTTACTTCTGTAAATGATTGAATCGTGCTTTTTCAAGTCCACTAGGAAGCTCAATTTTATCTCAAAACTTTCTTACAACTTAAATGTGTTCGAACATGGAAAGAAAAACAGACGCCTGCTGCTACTTTACAAAATTTGTTATTGCAGACAATTTCGCCATGGGAAATAAATGACAATTTGAAACGAAAGAAGTTATAAAAACCAGTCTGTCGTCATTAGGGTAGCTTATTGTATTGATTTCACTGATCGAGCACGTTGCTTACTGCTAAAATTTGCTAAGAATTTTGGATATAACAATGTCGTGCTTAGTTAGAGAATGTCCGTCGTGACGTAAAGACGATGTTGCGATTTTTAAAAAGTTTAGCCTGGTCTTTCCGTGCGGAAATGAAAAGCCCTAAACTAATTTTTATATCCTCGAAAACAATACTTATTCCACTTATTACGAGCTTAATCTGAGCCGATACTGAGGTATACCACACAGGGAAAGTATTAATTTGAAAATTGCTAGGAAATGCGATATTTCCAATAGCGTTTCGCGAGCTTCAAATTTAATGAAATGGTCCCGTTTTAAACTTAAAACATTCGTCAATCCTTCAAATAAATATCTGTCAAATTGAGAAGAGCTTGCTTTCTTTTGCACTTTTCACGAGCAAAGTTCATTTGTCTCAACTCGGGGCATTACTTTCCGCCAAGTTACGGCTACCGACGCTCGTTTCAGTTTTCGCAAATTTTCCAGAATAAAGAAGCAAATCTGGGCGAGAAACTTTACCACGTTTCTAAGTTCACTATACAGAATCTCTGACTTACCTTTGAGGGTAGTCATTTTTCGGTCGATGTGCTACCCTTCACGTGGCCTTGAAAAAAAATCGCTCTAAAATACCGATGCCAAGAAGTGTGAGGGGCAAATAGAATGTGTACAATTATGAAAGACATTATGTAAACCGTTTTGAATATGTAGAGTATTGTTTGAATACGTCACTGTAGTAAAACCGTAATGAATTGTTTAACGATTGTTAAAATTGTTTTGGGACTTAACGTAGGAGAAAACTAGATAAGCATCAACTTACCTCCTGTCTCTCCTTTCTCGGCTCCTCTCTAGTTTGCTTTTTCTTTGCTGTTGACCTCTTTTGAGTCTTTTTTTTTTCCGGGGCTCTTTGTCTTTCCTTCTCACGTCGCTCTTCGATAGATATTCGTAGTTTCAAATCAGTCTTTTCATGTCGTCTTTAGCGTCTCTCTTGCAGTGTAATTTCCAAGAATCAATGAAGCTTTCAACTACGAACTGATCAGTATGACTTTCCGCTCAAACGCCAAATTCCTTTGATTGCGCTGCTTAAACTCTGCTAGCCCACGTGAAGCCCTCTGTAATCAGTAACCAGGTGCCCGCGGTACGCTGCACGAACTCTGGTAAATGCGTACTTTATCACTCTGTATCTAAACTTCTTGGCGCGCCCGATTGGGGTCTCCAAGTTAGGCACGCAACCGCGCATGTGCATAACCTCCTCCAGTTGTCTTTTACGTAGGTAATAGCTAGATGCAATTTCCCTCGCTAGGGGGGCGAGGGCGAGGGCGAGGGCGAGGGTTAGTGTTATCAGGCCAGACAAGCAACAACTAATCAAGGAGCCCTCTTTGAAATACTATAATCATTTTCTCTTGTTCAATATATCTTCACTTATTCGAGATCCCAATATATCTTTGGTTAAGGTCTATTGGAGATGCGATAGAGTTTCATTTTGCCTTTCGCAGTAAAACTACGTGGAATTATATTTTTGAGGCAGCTAACTGTAGACGAATAATGTTAATTTCTTCTCTGTCAGAGGAACGCCAGTAAGGGTAGTCTGTTTTACAACAGTTATTTGGCCACGTCCCGCAACGCGCTCGCTCTCGAACTAGGAATAGAGGGCGTTGTGGGACGAGACCAAACAACCGCTGCGAAGGACACAAAGGTAAGCGTGGTACCGATGCATTTTATTTTCGCTCAAATTTTTTTTTTATACAGTAGAGACAACGGACCACAAAAAGCCTGTATGAGGTCAGATGAAGTAGGGTTTTTTTCCTTTCTGTTAAGGAGAAGTAATGCGATATTTTCGTTATTTTAAAAGTTATGCTCTTTTTCTGCTACAAAACTGAAACCGTTAAGAACGCAGTGTCCCATCACAACCCTCCCAGCCAAAATAATAAGTCTTGCATGCTAAGCATTCCTATGTTTATCTTTTTGGTAAGCGGGACATCAATAAAATTCGAATTCGGTTTTGACCATTTTTTAAACAAGAAAATGTATGTACGCACTCTGGTGACATACGAGATCTAAGGTAACCCGTACTAACCTCGCTATAGAGTAATGGTTGCTAGGTCGACCGAAATGTCGGCCATATTCTATTTAGTTTATTATGTTCACTGCACATTTTGCATTGTATCGAAATTAGAACCTACAACTTTATAGCTCAAACAAGCGGATATTAAAATAAAATGGAATAAACACAGAACTGATTCCGCTATGCGAAGAAGAAATAAATTTGCAAGTCTTTTGTATTCGTTTTATAAAACGATAATTGGCATGTATCTCAACAGACATGAGTCCCTGGCATGGCTCTTTGCAAAAGATAACGCACTTCACGTCATCACACGTTGTTATCTAAAAAAGCAATTGGACTGATATTTCTTCGCAATTGGTATTCACCATCATTTTGTTCAATCGAAACAATAAATTAACTACATGAAAATAACTGATAATTGAAAGTATACTGTTATTACTGGTAACAGAACCATCTGCAATTTTCCTCTGCCCACAAAGCTAAAAGTTAGACATATGTATCGTGAAAACGTCAATTGATATCGTTTCAAACATATTTTCATTCATTCAAATGTTACTGTAAACTTGATTCTGACTGCCAGAGGGTTTATGTAAATCCTTTCATAAGTTCCACAAACGATATCAAATAATGTTTTTATGATGCCTAAGCGCTTCTGTTGCCGTTAGTTTCCTCAAAATAATATTAAAGAAAGCAAACAAACAGAAAAAACAAAACAAAACAACAACAAAAATAAAAACTTACCCTCGGAAATCTCACAAATATAAGCGTGGCGATATCCTATACTTGTGCCATCAACACTACCAAACACGCCCTGCTCCCCATTACTGGACCGCTTGTAAATGAAAGCCGCGTCGTGTTCACCTCCTGGCTCCCCTTGTTCCCATTTGCAAATAGTCAGCGGTCTTCCATTCACCCAAGTCCAATTCCCGGCCTTTTTTGTTAAACCAATATTCCACTTATTTTCATAGCGCGTAGTATTTCGCCTTTGAATCTGGTCATTGATGAAATTCCATTCTTCTTCGGTTTCAATGGAAACTAGGTCCCCTCCTTGGTTTTGGCAGGCTTCTCTGGCCCAGAGCCAGTTGATGAGCCGCCGTTCGCGCACCGAAATTATGTACCAAGAGTTTTTAAAAGTTATATTTAGGCATTCTACAAAATGATAAAAATAAAAGCAAAAATGCTAATTATCATAATGATAATCAAAATGATAAATAATAATAATGATGATGACATAAAAAGATTAAAATCACAATCACAATCACAATAAAGGAGAAAAATAAATGAGAAAGAAAACGGGACTTATTTTTCATATAATTCCTTTTTTTTTACAGTTTTATGATTATTTTTATATGATTCCTTTTTTTTTTTTTTTTTAACACCTTCAGTTTATGTTTGATCAGTGTCAATTAATACTATACATCTTTCCTCCTTACGGCGTCCGCCATCTCTAACCTGCTTTTCTGAATTAGTTAACTTCACATCAGCTAAGATTATCTGTGAGTTCATGTAATTTTGGTAGTCGAGTTTTCGAAAATTAATTATTTCCTTGTGGAGCTGACACCACCCTCACCCCGCCCCCTATTCTTCCTCCCCCATCTGAATGGACTTAAAAAACGTAAAATTAAATGTGAATGTAAGTTCTTATAAATGTGTAACTGGAGATACGCAGTTCACCGCATACAGTTGTTATGGGAAAGGTTGTGGAAAAAACGAGAAACGAGAAAAAGCGGCATTAAAATTCCACTTTTGACAAAAGACCAGATTTACACACGCGATTGCACCAAGTAAACGAGCAAACTCCCTCAATCTCGAAACAGATTTAAATTTACTTGCAATTACTTTCCATTTACCGACTGAACAGAGCTATACTTCGTTCATCAATAGTTGATGGAAGTGAGTAATACTTTCTGTAAGATCATTGACTGTTTTTAAAGAAAAAATTCCCGTTATAGACATTGAACTCAAGTTTGTTTGCCAAACCAGTGCCGTTGATGTTGTTGTTGTTCTCTTTTTTTAAAACGTGCATACGCTTTTGTTTCTTACACGCTCTCTACTTTACAGGTGTCAGGTTGTGACATTTACTTGTTAAAAAAAAAGTTTTGAGTTTGTTTGGAAGCCTTTTAAATCACATTTTCCATTACACAAATAAAAATATTTCGGTAAAGCCTCTATTTAATTTGCATTACCTCAGTCTGTTTCAACTACCATTTACTCGTTCAAAAATTGTTCAGTTCATGAAGGATCTTGCCGTAATTACAGCCCTAAATCATTAGGGTTCTTTTGGAAAATATTTCGTTGAGTTTAAAAGAAAAAAAAACTGTTATTCATAAGCTAAGGTCGGGAAAAACTGTGCACTCTGTCTTCAGTACCGGTACTCAAGACCTTGGGCATACGTACTTCGATGCGTTATGTTTAAAAGAACACGGATTCACTCACTGACGTCAGTGATCACGCCTTGTAACTTGTGGCAAGGGAAAATTCCGTTGGTTAGATTATCCCAATCTCAGCGCGCTCGACAAAAGTTGTGAAATGTACAGTTTCCATCGCTGTTTTTCCAGCTGCAGGCGATGCAAAAAAGGGAAAATCCCAGGGTGATCATTTTTTTTCGAAACATATGTCCCCGTTTTTGTGATGGCCATTATGTTCAACTACTGATACACGCTTAAAAGTTCATTCGTCGCTCACACGTACCAGTTAGGTGAGCCGAGCATATTATGTGAACAACATGTTTACTTTTAAGAAGCAAGAGAAAGTTTCCTGACACAAGTGCAAGACTGCAATGTTTCAGCACATAATATACTTCATGGTTGGAATGTGCTCTTACCTCCGGGCATCTCGCAAATGAAGGCGTTTTTATCACCCCGAGAGATACCATTAAAGAGGCCTCTATTCTTAGATATTTCCGCGTAATTGTCGTTACCATCTGGCTGAGAATCTCGCCATTTCGAAATCTTTAGTTTTTCTCCACTCTCCCATGTCCAAACTCCGAGAAACTTCCATAAACCAATGTGCCACGCACTAGTATTCGAAGTACCACGCTTTTGAATCTCATGACTGATAAACTGCCATTCCTCTTCAGTTTCGATGGAGACTAAGTAACCTCCCTGGTATATACAGACCCACCAGTTGTCATCCCAATCTCTTCCGCTTTTCGAAAATATGTAGGATGAGTTTTTGAAACAGGTTGCTTGGCACTCTATGGGAAAAAATTAAAGGAATAAATAAACGAAGAAAAACGTATACTGATTGTAACAATAGTGATAATTCTGATGATGGAGACGAAGGAATAAATAAATAAACGAAAAACTGTATACTGATGACAATAGTAACAACGATAAAGATGGAGAAGAAAAAAAAATATACCATTAATGATAAAAAAACAATGGGCATCAAAACCCTCTACCTCACCAAAGGAAAAAAAAACAGGGTTAAGGTATTTTTAGTTTTTATTATTATTTTTTTACATCAGGGCAATTGCGGGAGATCCATTTCAAAAAACGGAACCCCCACTGGGTTTTGCGGTTGGTATGTTGGGGAGTCCGAAAACCAAATTTCAAGGCAAACTGTACGGTTTACATTGTCTATTATCGCGTATTAAAAAGCATGTTTTTTTTTCTTTTTGCTTACAAAGCTCTGCCAACAATGCCGACCACCAATAGAAACACAGAGGTGTCCCGCGTTGTCTCGGGAGACTCTCAGCCAAAACATATTTTGCGGATAATAGATGCCCGGACCAGACCGTAGTTAAATAATCTGCTGAACGGCAATTTGGATTGAATTTTTTCTTTAACTCAAAAGCGGCTTGAGAACGCTGAGGCAGAACTCGTCAATGTTTGCTGACCGTGTGCGCGTCGCTTCAACCACGAGCCCTTATCCGTTTCGGTGAGTTTCTTGAACCGTTCCTCATCGAGTTTCCTCAATTCTTGTACTTACAGCCAGGATTTTTTTTTTTTAGTTTCGCCTTTGGAATCTCTCCTTTTTTTTTCTGTGGCCAATCACAGTCTAGTTTTAAACGCAGACAAATAACAAAGGTCTCAACATGCAACCGAAATCAGGAGATATTTACATGACGGATGTACTACTAATGACTGTCTATGACTGATTATTGTTGTAAACTAGTGAGACATTTTTTTCGCGGAACATTTTAAGGTATATAAATGCTGAAATTGGAATTACACTACCTCGCTGTTCCGTGCAATTTCATTTCAAACAATGAAATAATACTGACAAAATATCTTGTAGCATCTAGTCGGTTTTTATTTGTTGCGCTATAGCATCCGTTTTTCCTTAGAAAGCTTACGTTTAAAATATAAAACGTACAGCAGGTCGGCATCATGTCACCCTGAGGAAGCTTATTGACTGCAAAAACGACTCTTATCATACGAAAAGGACTCGAATACAATTCTGCCTCTATGAAGACTTGAGGTAAAACGTTAACTGACCGAGTAGAACTAAGAATCTAAGAATGGGAAATTCAGAGTGATATTCCCCTCTTGTTATTCTAGCGCTAATTCAAGGGGTTTGAAAGGGGTTTTATTGGTACGCCGCCGTTACAGAAAAAGAAGCGAACTTTTTCCTTGATACGGTCGAGCACTGCTAGCGAAGATGCCATCAGAATCGCGCTTTGTAAAATAGCCCCCATCTGGTTCGAAGAAACAAAAAAATCTATAACTCAGTAAAAGAGAAAATTCATAAAATGTCATATAATAATGATAAGAATAAAAATGGGATGGAAAATACGAATTGCAAATCAATGTAGTCCACCAGTACACAATAGCCAGTCTAAAATAAAATCGATGAGTTAATTGTGGACACAATTTTAAGCTTAAGCTTAAGTACTCCATAGGTAATCTAGATTAACAAATTTAAATGATACACAAGACTTTTTTCGCTTTAGTGGAGTGCAATTCATTCCACAGAAGTGGTATACATACACGTTGATATTCCAAATGTAAAAAAAAGAGGGTTGGTGAACACAAATGGCACTGCCGGCTTTAGTTTTACCACGGTTAGAAACAAAGCTTTCAGTTCCTTTGATCTTTGTGATCGCGCGGACCGCACTTCATTTTAAAAACTTCGTGATTGTTTCGCACTGATTAATTGTTTTTAAATCACCTTGAATTGTGTTGTGGCAAAAACTATATAAAAAAATTTTAAAACTCCGCGAAAAAGTTTTTGAGTGTTTGCCACCCAAGAAGTATAGTGAAACGGAAACGATACTGGTGACTCTATCTTGTCAATGCTCTGAAATAACTTTTTTCTAGATTATTTAGAACGTACTACTGGAGCCAGGGTACCAGGCAAGGGTCACATGCCGACGAAGCGACAGCAATGGCAACAGTCAGTATTAAAGGGAATGTCATTTTTCCGTTCTGTGTCCATAGGGGATCGGTCTTAGTGCGCGATGTGACCAGGTACACTTGAAAATACCGGGTGAAATTTCCCAGTTGTTCGTAATGTTGTTCTGCTTATTCAAGGCACGACAAAAAAGAAAAAAAAAAAAAGAAAAAAGAAAACAATTTGTGTTTTTCATGGAGTCGAGCATTACCAGCAAACAGAAAAAAAAACGTTTTCGACCAAAGATGTTGATGCCAAATTTATCATGAGATCGATGAAAAGCATGAATACAGTCCTGTGTTTTATTTTCTCTTTTTCTAACTGTGGTGGAATTTATTAATTAACTGTCTACAGGGTTTCGGCGTCCGTTTAGAGAATAACACTCTACAGCTGAAGCCGATAAAAAAGTCGAGGAAGTAGGGAGTTAATTAATCGAAAGGGAAATAAAAGGTAGACCCGTCAAAAGCTGAACTGTCGCTGACGGCATTCATTTTAAAAAAAATCTTTGTCCAAACTTTCCTTCTGTTTACCACATTATTGTTCTCTATGAAGCGTGTTTGTATAATAAGCTCAAACGCAACTCCCATTTCTTTTCGTGCAAGATTGTTGAAGCAATACGTCTGAATAAGTTTTAATCGACGAACTTAATTCGTTTTCTCGCGAAAGAGTTCTTACATTGTTTTTGTGTATTTCTCGGATGACATCTTAAGAAATGAAGGTAGGCAACTATGCTATTATGTTCCTGAAACCCTTCATAATATTTCTAAAAGGTTTTGCACTAAACGTCAATTAAGGACAACAATCGGGAATTATAACTACCGTTGGTTTCAATTTTAAAACCGCAAAACTGTTTTATCGCGGTCAACTGTATCCAAATCATTTTCCGTCTGAACAAAACTAAAAACTACACTTGTAAACAGGTTAAAACATATGTCTTCCTTTTTTTAATCTGTCTATTTATTTTCATTACCTTTATTATTTTCAGGTATTATGAAACTTAAGAACCGACACGTTACGAAAGTTCAGTTTGAATGAGAGGGCCCACTAGAAGCTACCGACAATATCATCTTATTTCCGGTTGGATTTCACTTGGGGTTACAGGATGTTCCAATACCGAGATATTTATATTTAACCAGTCACTATTTACTTAAAATTTCCATAGAATAACCACAAAATGTATTGAACTGCGCCAAAACTACATAAAAAATTGCAAACTCAGCATTTAGCCAGTTGTTTTTATGTGATAAAACTCAGGAGCTGACGTTGTCGAGTTCCATTGTTTTGTTATTAGAGAAATGAATACTTGCCTCTTGACTTGCATCTCTCTGGTTTGAAGCGGCCGAGGGCTGCACGATGCCCCGATACCAACATATTGATGTTCCATCATTCATTTCTTAATTAATTTTTTTTAATTCATTATCTTCCCTATTTCTAAAGCATAACCAAGAGAAGTAGTAAAGCTTGAACTTACTCAGCGCACAGCGTAAAGACAGGGCTGTGGACAGTTTGCTAGATTGAATCCCACTCATCGCACCACCCATCAACTAACTCAATCACAAGTTGCCGTTAGTATATGTCGACACCCTTATAATGGTCCGTGACTTCATAAAATCACAAGAGCGGCAGATTTCAGATAGCGGCTTTCAAACTATTTTGTAGGACGTGAGTGTAATAGACATCACATACGACAACTTTTTGCTGACATAAGCCGCGAAAGTTCTATTTTTACACTCGTAAACGGACCAATGAGACTAAAAGCTCTTTTTATCAGATGCAGAATGCTGTTTATTTAACAAATACAAGTGATTCACGACACGGAAATCGATTTATCAAGCTAAAGTTTTGTTAACGTGAAGATAAAAATGGGTGTTTAAAAACATTGTAAACAACTCAAAACTAATCAGGATCCTCTTTTATAGGTAGTTGTTGTTTGGAAATAAATGTTATGTCCACCGGGAACTAGCGCAAATATGCCATCTGTTCATCTGCGTGCACCCGAACAGAGATAACTGTCATCTATCTATCAAAAGATAAAAGTGCGTGTCTTAGGCCCGTATAATATTGACTTCGCCGGCAGGAATAATTCAGTGATAAATTCGCGCTAGTGTAAGAATGCAAATGAACTATAGAATTTCTCAGGTTAAAAAATATATATAAATATATATTCTCCGTTTGGCTAGACCACCTCTTCGATATGAGTTTTCGTGAGTCTTTGAAGTTGATCATCAACATTAACGGATCAGAAAACCAAGGGTGGTTAGTGGGAAATAGTTGAGCCTTAAATCTGCATCAGTTCCTTTCTCTTGCTACATAACTTCTTCTTTAGTGTACATCGTTTAGTTCATATCTTTGCAGTATGATTACGTTGAGCTGCCAGAGAAAAACCCTAGCTATTTTCCCAGTTACATGCGCATGTGCCGGAAACTAAATTCGTTATAATTACATATATAAATAACTTTTTTTTCCGTTCGAATTTCAGAGTAGCATGATGGTGCTGGTTTCTCCGAAGAAAGAAACTGTATAAGTGAGTAAATAAGTAAGTCTCATTCATTGAAAACATTAATTCAATTTCATAATTATATTACAATAAATAAAACCGATCAACAGGTCATGCTGTCTCCTCCGTAATTTACGGAGGGAAGATTCGACGACATCCTCTGGAAATCTTGCTTTCTTTTTTTCTCTACGTTCGCTGCAGTCGTCATTGCCTTTACTTTTCAGAGATTTTAACATGTTGCTTATCTTGTCGAACAATGCTTGTCTCCCTGTACTGCGTTGCTGTTTATCTATTGTTTCTCTAGATCTTTTCTTCCCCCAAGCTACGATAGTCTGACTTGTTAAATCAAAGTTGAGATTGGAACTGTTCTTGGGGTCAAGGCCAACGTTTCCTAATTCTTTGTCCTTCACTTCTGCCAACGTTTTGGAGGTTCTCGACTGTTTCAATATATTACTGATTGCATCGAAACATTTTGTTCTTTCTTTTGAGCTCGAGCAACGGTTCTCATCGATAAGTTCATACAGTTCACTTTCGCTCACGCTGTTCTTAGCATCCAAAAGAGCATCGTTGATTATGCTGATAAAGAAGTTCATACAATGCAAAGAATGGTCAGAGTGAAGAGAATTAAGAAGGCGAATATTTTGGCCTATATGGTATTAGCCTGTGCCAATTCATTGATTGGTCTAGCTTTCACTCGACCAAGAGTTAGCTCGAGTTGGAAATAAGCTCCTTTCAGCACCGAAGAGTAGCGCTCAGTTACAGAGCCAAACATCAAGACACCGAAGTGCAAAAATGCCACAAAGAAAATGGATAAAACGATGCTAAGGGATAATAAAGATCGTGCAGATATCTTCAATGTTTTGGAGAATAGAACAACATAGTTGTTGAAGCGAATGGTCCGCAATAGCATGATGATGACGATGAAAGTAAGAATTCCAATTACGACATTTTCCACTTTTTAGCAAGTGATAGCTTCTTGGAAACTTAGATTTTCGTAAATGTTTCTATGCAGTTTGCCCATGGTTGACATGACTTTACTTTGTCGTATTATGTACATCACCACGGCAATCAGAGGGAAAAAAATTTGGAATATCTCGATCCAATTCCACATGAGCTTGAAATATCGAAAACGATGATTGTAAAGCCTGAAAATTTCTCTAACAAAATACAGTAAAACAAATACAATGTACAGAAATAAGCAAATCAAATAAAACTGATGCGAGGGTGTGCCCGTAGAATCAAGTGAAAGAACACGAGTTTGCATGGAGGCTGGTATCAGTCCAGAAGCATCAACTTCATAGAAGTATGTGGCAACACCTAAAATATTCACCGACGGATTGAATGTAGAAAACTCTGCCAGGACAACTCTCGTTTTTCTGTCAAGCCAACCGTTGATCTGTAAACTTGTTATTATGCTGAATCCCGTATGGCTATCATACCCGAGGTCTGCTACAAATCCTCCTCCATCATAAAAGGAGAACTGTCCCCACCTGGGTGTAGTTTCGGTTTTCTTGGCATGTTGATATCGCTGTTGATTAAGTATGATCGCTTGACACGTAGAACTTTCAGCAGCTAGTTGACGCATAGAAAGAGGAGACATTTTTCCCTTTTGGCATCATGTAATAGTGGCATAAAACGATAGCAATCAAGCTATTGTGTTTCTATTATCCTAAATATGGCTGCCAAAGCTATTTTGCAGAAAACTAAGGGCAAACGACATGACCACCGCACGAATGAATGTCTCGCTCGTGCTATTTGCTTTCTGATTACTTTCCGCTATATGGAATCTAAAAGCCCTTAGGAATCCAAGTTGTAAGAGATCCTTCTGTAATTATAAACTACGAGTTTACTGCGGACATGTGTAGAGTCTGGTTTGTTTTGTTTTAATTAACAGTGCCAAATAACCGCCACCTGACATTTCTTCTCGGTTTGCGGTTTGGCTGAATTTCAAAGGACGTTCCAAAATCGGCATAAATGTTTCGCAAATGAAAAGTCAAGATATAATAAAGGTGGTACTTACCTGGCGCATAACTTTTAGACAAAGCTTTCCACACTTTGCCGGATTCAGTTGCACGCATCACACAATCCATTAAGCGCACGATACTGTTATAGCTTGCTGTCAATAGCTGTCTTTACTCTTATACGAATTTGTCATTCCGGTTATTTATTTATTTTCTGAATTATTTGGCATTGTATGGAAAGTGAAAAGTATTGAGAAACTAATAATAATAATAATGATGATAATACAAAGATCCCTAACTCTTCCTTTAGCGATTAAACAAATAGTTTAGAAAGCCCGCGTGCAGAGTCTGGTATTTTTCGTTATTAGAGTTCCGTAGGTTTAAAAATCAAAATGAATTATTCACAAATGGAAAGTCAAGTTCGAAGGTTTCATAGCTACGACAGAATAACTGAAACAGGAATTACAAACGTCGTACTTACCCAACACACAAGATATTAGAATGGTTTTGAAAATTTTGATCGGTTCAGTTCCATTTATCATCCACTTCATCATGCCCAAGATATGCAAAGGTTGCTTTTGAAAGCTATTATTACACTTGTATTTGTTTCACCCTGCTTGAGAGTTAGAGTTTAATGCAAATAATTGTCTCTGATTGTATTTTAATAGCGTGTGTCTCCTTCTTTCTTTTTCTGTTACAGACGAACCACAAACTTGCACCTGATGTGGAGCATTGTTTTTTGTTTGTTTGTTTTTTTTTTTAATTCCGTCGAAAAACTTAGAGGCATTAAACTAGTTTTTGTGGTTCAAGTTTTGTAAAGAAGCAGCTCAAACAAAATTGATGTTAGGAAAGATAATATTTTTTTAATGAACTCTGCTAAATGAACTTTGTCTTAAACCAGCTACCGTTTTATTAACCGGCAGCTAAAGCTAGTATTTCATCTGCTCGTATGCGTAAATGGAAATTATTATTTATTCATCTCGCCGATGACGAGCTACGCATTTCTGTCGGTAGGTTTATTTACTTCGTATGCCTTCAACTCTGATGGACTAACTCGCTCATGTGTTAATAACCGTGCATTATTATTTTTATAGGAAACGGCAAACTCCGAGTCAAAGGATTTCTTGTCGGTTTTCTTAGTGAATGTGAATTTACATAAAGTTAATCGTTAATTAATCAGAATCCCAGCGGAGGCTAACGGCCGATGGTTTTAGTGTTCAGCCTACAAAATAGCTCTCCCCTTCAAAAGCGTCAGGCAGACCATTATTTTTGTGCCCAAATGACTCAACACAACAACGGTGGGGTCTAAAGGTCTGAGTGTGCGATGTTCTTGGGTCAGTGAGGTGCTCTGTGGGCGAGATATTCTACTCTCCGCGCTCATAGAATAATTGATTATTTATTCGGGAATTTCTCCAGCCTAAGCTGCGAAATATTTAGTCAATCGAGGCTTAAAGCGAGTTGCCCTATCGCATTTGAGCGCAGTGGAGAGAAAAGCACTTGCGCATTCCAGAGTGTTCTTCTGTGTACCTTCTTCCGCCTAAATCGCATGCTTCGTTATCAATGTTGAGTTATAAATAGGTATGACATAGTTTAGACTGTTGTAAACCAAGTCGGGCATATTTACATTATCGTCTCCTTCTCTCAATTGTTGAAATTCCTCTTCAATGCTTGCCTCTCAGTTATAGTTATACTTGAAAACAAGGCCTATGGAAATATTCCTCATTTCTATCGCTGAGCATTTTTCCTATAAATTGTGTACTCTGTGTAGATGTTCTTTAATAGCTGTTAATCTAAGTTTGCGCAAGAGATTATAATCTCGGTTTTAATAAAGTTCGAATATAACGCCCTTTTTAATTGCGAAAAAAAGATTAAAAATGGGCAAATGTAACTGATCCAAAAAGGATCCAATCACTAGGTTTTTTCTGGTTTTTTCATATTAGTTGTTTATTTATTCAAACATTTACGTATTCATCTATTTATTCATTAAGCAAGAACTTTGAAGGTCCGCTTTAGCTACTACTACTATTAGTATCATTTGTTACGGTACAATTAAACCAACAGAAAGAACAATATTAAACAACTTGTAATATTCTTACCAAGAAGCGACTGTTAAAGGAAGTACAGTATTTATACTAAATAAACTTTATTAAGCGCATTAAAAACCATCTCTTAGAACAACCCACTGACAAAATCTCACAGTTGTCTCCAAAGTTCCTCGAAATTATATCAACAATCTTCAAAGTAGTTCTCCCTGTAGTCTTATTCGGAGGGCAGCCCTCATCAGACTGAGCCATAAGAAATTAAAATTTTTAGATTGGTTTATTTCGATGAATTTTTCTTGCAAATATACGATCGCTCAGAAAATAAACTTATAACTTACAATCATGGAGAAGATAGGTGACATTTACAGTTGCATGAGTGCTTAAACAATTATAAACACAATGACCTTAACCTGCAGATCGTACCTCAGACCGATCGCAACCGACTAATCGCTGTTAACTAAATGATTGCACTAAGTAATTGACTGTTATTTCTAGTTGGCTAGATCCAGTTACTTGAGTTAAGTGCGATTTGGATTCAAATTCAGCACAATCTCACTTGTTTGACCTGTGAGCACTTCCTTGTGGCGTTGTCCTTTATTGAAGATGAAAAAACGATGTTCATCTTTCTTTTGAATCTTTCTTTGATCTGCACATAGACGAGCAACATAAATATTGGTTCTGAGCACTCACACATATATTGAAAGACTATAACTTGATGATATGCAGTTAGTGTAAAAACAGCTTAATTTTTTTTCTTACCTGATTGTTTCGCATGCAGTGTAAAGCGAAAATCAGGAAACCCTGCAGGATAAGCATGATTTCAGATCATTCCTTTTTAACATATTTAAAAAAAATTAGGGAAATATCTATTTAGATGCAAATGAAGAGAAATTTAGTAAGAATTGAAGAAATAAAGAAGAAATCTGTTTTATTCAGCATAGTTAACAGCTTTTTGTTTTCATAATTCCAATAAATATCATGTAACCATTGTAATGGTGTCTCGCTTGGTTGACAAATTCAATCGAGATTTATATAATCAAGATTGGATGATTTTTGAGAGTAACCATTGAACACTCACCTGAGTAGAGTTGAGTATGGTGAAGATGTAGGCAAAAGCTTTATGCACAGGCAAAAGGAGACCAAATAACCACGTGATACCCAGCAGGGGATTTATCACCACGCATGCTTTGATGCCAAGTCTAGGAGTTAAAAACAAAGAAAGAAAAGACATTCTTTTATTTTAATTTGACAAATAATTTTCATTGTTAGATATCGGAATGCCTTCCTGATTAAGGAATGGGGAAGTTAGGCGATTATCGCCTCACAAGAGCACATGGCAATCTCGTCCACTATTTTGTTTTAGTTTTATGTTGCAGGTCTTACCGTACTTGCTGAAAATGGTTGTCTTCCGCTGTTGGCTGCACCAAATTGGTCATTTCCTTTATAACGCTTACGAGTATCAAGATGTTGAGCTAAAAATACGATAGGAATAAATTGATTATTTAGATATGGTTGTCGAAAAAGCAAGAAAGGATCCTTGCCAAAGACGTCATTAGTTTGGTAAGGAGAGTGGAATGATTCATTTACAGGGAATAGAACTCCCAGCCAGGGGACCTAAATCATGAGCTTTGATCCTCTGACAGTGGGCTAAAGAAATTGCGAACAAAAGTGTCTAAACTGAATGAACCGTACCAAGTGAAGCCTCATGTTAAATAATATAAATTCAATATCTCCTACTCTCCCTGCTATTTCATCTTTGTTAAAGTCTTTTTTAATTAATTTTTTTTAATCAGTGATTTTTGCGCGAAACATCATCTTGGTATATCAATGTGAAACAGTGTGAGAACATTAATATGGAGGCAGTGAGGATTTTTTTTTTACGCTACAAAGTAAAAGTTGGAGAATTTATGAAGCTATTTTATGCCTGTGAAGACATTGTCTCAAAGGTTTTTCTCGCTATTGAAGGCCATCAGTAGGTTAAAATTGACAACCATCCCCGTGAACAGCAGCTCCGTCCAAAGTTTTTCGTGAGTAAATAGCAAAAGATAAATGGTAAATATTGTGTGTGGTCATATCATAAATACTTATCCCTTTAACTCCCAAGATCTGATTAGTAATTCTCCCCTCTAGCTGCTACAAATATTTTTAAAAATAGTTATGAGAATTTGGTGTTAGATCAAGGCAACAACTTTTACCTGATAAGTTTACATATTCTCATTCGCTGTTTCCTGTATAATGTAAGGCTATTACAGAGAGAAGTTTCATGTTGATCACTCCTGGGAGTTAAAGGTTTAATTAGCTTTTTAAAGAGCAGAGGAAAAGGTCTCTTGGCAGCAATTAGTTCAAGTATACCAATCATAATCACCAACACGAATCATAAACTCACAACTTCAATGAAAGTCACAAAGGCGACGAATATCCAGGTCAGGTTGTTAGTCGAGGAAAGCCAGCAACTAAACTCGAACAAATGAAAGGCAGGAAAGAAAGACAAATTTTTAACAAATGAAATGATACTGACTTAAAACTATACACAAAAACACAAAAGAAAGAATGTAATGAAATGAAGTAAAAGAAGGAACCGTTGAATTTTTTCCTCACTATTTATCACTGGTATAGCTTTGTAATCCTTCTTTCCCAGCAGCGATGCCAAGTGAAATGGCCACCATGATCACTGGAAGACCTACCCATAGAGAAAGAAAGGAACTACAAACACTGCAATGGATGACAACACCGGTTTTGGCGATCCGAAAGCACTGATGCATGGTTATAGTTACCTGTGCATGTTGTAAAATAATAAACTTACCCCATGAGAGGACGTGATACATGTGCATCTTGGCGTTGATATTATAAACTTTCACAACGAAGAGGTAGAGATAAATTGCCTCGATCAGCATCCAACAGAAAGCGGCCATCAAGAAATACTGCATCAGAGCTGCTATTGTAACACAAGCAGCCTGTGAAGAGAAAGATTCTTTCGTATTCTTATCGTGCTCCTTTAGATATGTTATTTTTGGTGCAAAGAGTAGATTCATTCTATGAATATGAAAGAAAGGCCACTAACTTTGTTTTCTGTGGCGTTTATTCCCGCGAGGAAGATGATCTGTCCAGCTCCAAGGGACATAGAAACACTCAGTCGAATTTGAGAGAGAGGTTGACGAACATCTCTGATGAAATAATAGGTAAGTACAGCAAGAACCACAAAATTTAATCAAAAGATACAGCAAAATGTGGCTTAAGATATCAACTAAATCTTGACATCAAAGGAAAAAAAAAGACAGTGAAGAGCTCTAGAAAGGAACAACAAAGGAAAGCATTTTGAGGAAAATGGCTAAACCCTAAACAATTCATGAACCGTGAAACCATGAGCATTTCAAGCGCTCTTAATGGGGCATGAAATCTACTTAGAGTTTGTGAGTTATTCGGCCGACATGTATTTTCTTATTGACATGGAGATTTGCATTGAGATCTCTTTTCTCTCTAGCCTAGTTGAGGGGAGATGAGAATCTACGTCATCAATATTCAGGTACATTACATACGTGAGGCAATAATAAAGTATTAATGTTAAAAGTATCCCGACGATGGAAAGGCTCAGTCCCACGTAGGTGATAACTTTCAGGACTGTTTCGTCCTCCTTGGTGAGCTATGTCAAAAAAGAAAAAAATTAAAGGAGAACATTGATGTAGTTAATTGAGCCCATAAAATGATAAAGTAAGGCAAAAATTATTTGATTACCTTTAAGCTACCGTCGTAGTCCATTAAGACGGCAAAATGCGTCAAATGATTGCAGCTGCAAACTGTTTCTTCTGAGTTGCTTTTTGATTCAACTACATGGCATCCTTCCTCTGAAAATCCCTCAGACCTGAAAAATTAAATTAACAAAGCACGCAAAATAATTCATCGTTTGGGGAAGAGGTGATGTTTGACAATTTGCGCTAGGTTTTTCCTCCATTGTAGTTTTAGCAGCGAGAACATTTGAGTCAGACTTTCTCTCTCTAAAAACGACAACATGTTGGCCTCCGGGAAACATCTGACTATGAACTTTCATTCATACTCTGCCATACTTAATTTAATTTTAGAACGAAGAAATACTATACAGGTATTTTTTACCTTTTGCTGAGGCCAGTCCAAAACATGCAGCGCTTCTCTGCTGTCAAAACCTGAAAATAGATTTTTTCTAGTCAGAATGGATCATAATAGCGCGTAGCACCTAATTTTAATGTTACCTTTAGGTTTTTGAACTTAAGGATGACATTTTCTGGCAATTTATTAGGCTTGGGGTCCATAGTTATGGCCATTATCCTGGAGTTGATATACCTATGAAGAAATTATATTTGAAAATGAACCAAAAATCGAGGAATCAACAAACATATACTCTTGCTAGATTCAAGCGAGTTTTTTATGAAGATGGAATTTTCTGAGACAGACAGGAAGACTTCGAACCCTATATGAGGTTTTTGAAAGTTTCTAAACTCAGTTTGGTTGAACTTTAATCTTATGTTTCCATATTATGTGTTTTGGGGGGTAAGCGACATAGAAGGAGATGAAAATATCATGACCTTTTGTTGACTGTTTCATTCCTGATGGGTTGATCCGTCAGAAGTCGGTCATGCAGATCCTTGTACACAAAAGCCACTACCAATGATCCTTAAAACCCCCCAAGAATTAACAAAAAGTAAGTTAAAAAAAACAAAAACAGAAATTTCAAATTTTTATCAGGCCCTGAGGTATGTGACTTTAGAAGGAAGGCAAAGAATTCAAGAAAATAGACTATGTAAACTAATGAAGCGCATTTTTATGGGGCTTTATTTCAATACAGGAATTCAGATTGGAGAAACTAAGGTAATTAAAAGTTGTAAAGTTAACACGCTGGTTTATACGAACCATTTTCCTCAAAATTTGAAGAAGCGATATCGATTGTCGCTTGCCCTCGTTGTTCATCAAAGTGGAAGAAACTCCCATTCTGGCGATAGGCTTTTTGAATGGCCAAAACTGTCAGAAAAACAATTCAATGACAAATAAAAGCACTCACGGTGAAATTAACAATAGCACGTCCACAAAACATGAGTTTTGCGAAGTACACAAAATGTTTTATAATCTTAGTGAGTGGACGTGTACCGTTTGTACTTTATTTGCCCTTCAGCCAATATTCGACGGATTCAATCATTTTAAAAATGATTTTTTATGTAAAACTGATTAAAAAGTATGTAGTACTGCACGGACTAAAATTTTGAAAATTCATTTCGTTCCTCGAAGCGTTTTGTCGGAGAACAATAGAGTTCATTAGGGAGTTTGTATGAGTACGGTTAAAAATCTTGCATATATATGCATCGCAGTCGATGTGCTTATTTTGAGCTCAGTGCATAGTATGAAGTAAGGGGACATTATTTGTAAGATTTGACAATTTCAGTAAGTAAAGTGTTACTCGCCAATCTATAAACAGAGCAAGACGAAGGGTTTCAGAATTTTGAAGGATTCCTATTTTCTCTTGTTGATTTCAAACCACCTTTTATTTCCTTCTCCACCGCAAAAAGTCAAAGTTAAAAAAACGAGCAGATGAACCAATGACATCCAACAATAAAGTTTCTAATAATTTTGGTCTATAACTGAGATTTATCTTGAAAACTATGCTACTCAGTCGGTCAGTCAGCAAATCAGTAAGTAACAGAGCAATAGATTTTGAAACTAAACAGGATTGAAGGCCGCAACCTCACCCATTTTTGGGAAAACGATCCTTTCTGAAGGCCTCATTCCACTCAGGTGTTGCTTGCCATAATTAATAGCAAATTTCTCGACGGCCTCTGCCACCTCAAAGATGGATTTTCTTAGTGTCTTAACCTCTTCCATGCTGACCTTGCCTTTTGCGACTTTCTTGAGATTTATGGTGAAATCTTCAAACACACCTACAGCCTCCTATAATTACGTAAATATTCCCAGGTCATTAACTAGCCAGTCTCATATACACAATTTAACACAAAGCAGGAGGCCCCAGATGGTGTCCAGGGTATTCCTCAGCAAAATAACTCTTTTAGGGTCCTGGGTTACTTTTTAAGCCTCACCATTTTCACCCTGTATGGCTTGAATGGTGGTTTATCTTAAATTTCAGATATTTACTTTATTATGGTGTAAATAGATATATCAGGGTTAAAAGCCTTCAAGTTATGAAAATTGCATACCTGTATGGAAATCTTTCTGGTAACATTTATTCCGGATAATTTTGACACATAGTAATTTGCCTGGAATAATAATAAAAATAAAAAAAAACAATTGTCTGTCACATTAATGGACCGAGAAGATCTCGAAAAGTGACATGCAAAGAAACGCTAAAGGACTATTCAGAACACAAACCAAATGCTCAACTGTCCTAAACAACAATGACGATGGTGCTGTTAGCAATGGCGATGGCGATGGCGATGGCGATGGCGATGGCGATGGCGATGGCGACGGCGACGGCGACGGCGACGGCGACGGCGACGGCGACGGCGACGGCGACGGCGACGGCGACGGCGACGGCGACGGCGACGGCGATGGCGATGGCGATGGCGATGGCGATGGCGATGGCGATGGCGATGGCGATGGCGATGGCGATGGCGATGGCGATGGCGATGGCGATGGCGATGGCGATGGCGATGGCGATGGCGATGGCGATGGCGATGGCGATGGCGATGGCGATGGCGATGGCGATGGCGATGGCGATGGCGACGGCGATGGCGATGGCGATGGCGATGGCGATGGCGATGGCGATGGCGATGGCGATGGCGATGGCGATGGCGATGGCGATGGCGATGGCGATGGCGATGGCGATGGCGATGGCGATGGCGATGGCGATGGCGATGGCGATGGCGATGGCGATGGCGATGGCGATGGCGATGGCGATGGCGATGGCGATGGCGATGGCGATGGCGATGGCGATGGCGATGGCGATGGCGATGGCGATGGCGATGGCGATGGCGATGGCGATGGCGATGGCGATGGCGATGGCGATGGCGATGGCGATGGCGATGGCGATGGCGATGGCGATGGCGATGGCGATGGCGATGGCGATGGCGATGGCGATGGCGATGGCGATGGCGATGGCGATGGCGATGGCGATGGCGATGGCGATGGCGATGGCGATGGCGATGCTGATCCTAATGCCGATGATAATAGAGATGACGATGGCGATGACAATAGAGATAGCGATGGTGATGCTGATGCCGATGCCGATGCTAATGATGATGCTTAAGATGGATGAGATTGTAAATCTTCGATTAGAATGAGATATTAATTGAGCTCTTTTGCCGTTTTACGGCTTACCTCTTAACACGTGTTTGTATATTTTTCAAAATAATAGGGTAGCGAATGACAGGAAACACAGAGGGCGTAAAGGTTCAAAACTTCAAGCTTGTTATCATCGCTCAATTTACAAAACTTGGATGAAACGGATATTTTATAATAAGTAGACGCTAGCGAGGATCCTTTTGGTTTTCTTCAACACAGGTTTTACAAATGCGTATAAACACCATACGTGATGCGCCACTGTTACGAAGTGCTTCACCCGAAGTGTGCTATGCCAATGGACACTATTGGAATACACTACAAAATACCTCGAACATCCCCATTGCTAACACTGCTACGAAAGGAAAAGACTAACAAGCAACGGTTTTCGTTAATTGATACTGAAGATAGGTAAGTGGTTTACTTCTTAGCCATTGGCTTTATGGAGATACAATTACATGCAAGAAAAACTTTTAACATAAAGCTGGAAAAGTGCGAGAAATGAGATGAAACATTACAAATGTCAAACTTTATATACGACCTACAAGAAAAAACGCAATTAACGTCATAGCGGCTCACGTGCTTACACACCGATCGGAAAATATTTACATTCTCTGTCAATGTCCCTACAGTTTAGTTCCGCCGAATGTAAGAACATTTCCATCAACCTTCAAAGTCCGATCAGAACGTTCTACACAATTGCATTACATGAACACGTGGCACTTTTCCATGCGCTTAAATTGTATTCTACCGATCAATTTTCATTTTGCCTCATTAGGCCTGACTCCATCATCTGCCATTTCCTTGTAAACAACCTGCGTAATAGCTTTCGCTCACCGTGGAGTCTCTATGGCTCAGTGGTAGTGCATCGGAGCGCGGAATCCGAAGGTCTGAGGTTCGATTCCTCATGGGACTCAGAATTTTTTCTTTGTCCCACGCTCGTGACAAGACGAATCCATCTTTCTCTCTTCTGCATTTTAGCACTTATTCGAACCCCACTATCCAACACCACTCAAAAAATTTCAGACGGAACTAAATGTTACTGAGAGTAAATTTTCAACGCAGTTCTACTGTGTATTGACTTTTTCTACGAACAAAAGTCCCTTTCAGTTACCTCGGACTTAATCCCATCGCATGTTCATTTTTCTGTTATAAAACTGAAAACGTTAGGAACACAAAGTGTCCCATCTCAACCCTCTGAGCCAAAATAACGAATCTTATATGCTATGCATGCCTATGTTTATTTTATTTTAGTAGGCAGAACATCCATTAAATTCGAACCCAGTGTTGACGGAAAAAAAATATCTACATGCTCTGGTGACATACGAGAACTGAGGTAACCCTTACTATCCTCGCTGTAGAGTAGTGGTTGTTAGGTTGATCGAAATGTTTGCCTTATTCGAATTAAAAGCAGGATGGTCAGATTCTTATGTTCACTGCACATTTTGCATTGCATTGAATTTAGCCCCTACAACTTTACAGTTCAAAGGATCGGATCTCGAAATAGAATACAATAAACATAAAAATTGATTCCCTCTGCGAAGAAAAAATAAGTCTCGAAGCCTTTTGCATTTGTTTTATAAAACGAAAGTTGGCATGTATCTTTACCGACTGAGTCACTACCGTTTCACATAAGATAACGCACTTCACATCATCACGTGTTGCTATCTAACAAAACAATCGGATCGCTGATTCTTTGCAGTTGGTATTCACCACCATTTCATTCAATCGGAAGGATAAATTAACTACGTGAAAATTAGCGACAATTGAAAGTTTCACAATTGTTTTTACTCGTAATGGTAATAGTAACAGAACCATTTAAAACTTTCCTCTGCTCGAAAGGATAAAAGTTAGACATGTATATCGTGAAAACGTTCATTGAAATTGTTTCAAACATATTTTCATTCATGCAAATGTAACTCTAAACTTGATCCCGACTGTCAGAGGGTTTATAAAAATGATGTCGTGATTATTGCAAACGTCACCAAAGAATGTTTTTGTTACGCCAAAGCGCTTCTGGTGCCTTTTAGTTTACTCAAAATAATAATAATAATAATAATATTAAAAATAATAATAATAAGAAGAATAAGAATAAGAAAACAAAAAGGGAAAAAATAAAACAAAACAAAACAAACTAAAAGAAAAACTTACCCTTGGAAATCTCACAAATATAAGCTTGCCAGTTCCCCCAAGCTGTGCTACCAAACACGCCCGGTTTGCCATTACTGGACCGCTTGTACATGATGGCCTTTTCGTGTTCACCACTTGGCTCCCCTTTTCCCCATTTGTAAATAGTCAGCGGTCTTTCACTCACCCAGGTCCAATTCCCGGCTTTTTTTGTTAAACCAATACTCCATGTACTTATATAGTACTTAATATTTCGCCTTTGAATCTCGTCATTAATGAACTTCCATTCCTCTTCGGTTTCAATGGATACTAGGTCCCCTCCTTGGTTTTGGCAGGTTTCTCTGTTAAAGAGCCATGACCATCCATTCACCGAAATTATGTACCAAGAGTTCTTAAAAGTTATGTTTGAGCATACTACAAAATGATAAAAACGGAAACAAAAATACTAATTATAATAATGATGATAAACAAAATGATAATAATAACAATGATTACGACATAAAAAAAACTATGATCACAATAACAATAAAGGAGGAAAAAATGAGCAAGAAAATGTAATTTTTTTCATTTTCTATTTTATTCCTTTTTTTTTTTTTTTTAATTTAACATCTGTAGTTTATGTTTGGTCAGTGTCAGTTAATACAGTACGTCTTTCTTCACTACGGCGTCCACCATCTCTGCTTTCCTTTATGAACTCCAGCTAAAAGTATCTGTGAGTTCGTGTAATTTTAATAGTTGAATTTTTGGATATTAATTAGTTCCTTGTTGAGCTGACACCTCCCCTCACCCCGCCCCTTATTCTTCCTCCCCCATCTGAACAGACTTAAAAAACGTAAAATTAAATGTGAATGTAAGTTTTCATAAATGTGCAACTGGAGATACGCAGTTCACCGTATACAGTTGCTATGGGAAAGTTTATCGAAAAAACAAAACAGAACAAAAATTTAAAGGGCACGCGACAAACTCAAAAGATTATCTTGGCGGCGGTAATCAACATGGACATAAAAAGGTAAAGATAAACTAATTAAGGTTACTTTGTGCTTTTCTTCCGATTTGATTGCAGTTTCGAATTAAAAGTCAATCTTGTATTAAAAATAGGTTCAAACCCGTGGTGCCTCGTCCTTAAAGTGACATTTTCTTAGACTTCCCTGAAATCCTGAGGTCGTCTAACTATGACCTGAAAGCTAACCGCAATATCTCTCAAGGTCACCGCTTGCACTTCTGACACGCTTTTTCCCGAAAACTTTTCCCGAAAGAACTGTATTTATTAGTTGTTTTTCTGAAAGGTAACGAATCATGCAATCTTTGAGGTTCTTAATGCTGTCCGGATTTTCCTATCTCTGCTTAGCGGCACGGTAACGTTTGCTCGAGTCGCTAGCTACAACCCTAACTTCGTTGTCATTTTTCATAAATGTATTTCGTTTGCCAGCTGAACAGTATTTTAAAGCAAATCATTTTAAAGCAAATCAAGCTGATTAATAACTTATTAATCCTCTCCTTCTCTCTCTCTCAAGTCACTGTGGCTGCCGGCAAAACGAATGATGAAATGATTTTTGGTAGCAAATTTATCATTAGATGGGTTGACGCGCGGCCTGAAAACCGTTTGTAAGTAACTTTGACCTTCACTAGAATTAATTCAGGAAGTTAGAACGTGAAGTGTTTGTTTAAAATTGAATTAATTAATGGAATTTTCAATCATTTAATATCTGAATTCTTTCAAACAATTTGTTCATTGAAAAACAGAAAGCGAAGTCTTCATTCTATACTTTAAATACACTTTTGGCAAGTCTTAGACATTTGTACCGTAAACTTCATAACAGTAAACGAAGGAATTCAACGAGAAAAAACCGCATTCAAATTCACTTTTTGACAAAAGACCAGATTTACATAAACGATTGCACCAAATAAACGAGCAAACTCGCACAATCTCGAAACAGATTTAAATTTCCTTACGATTACTTTCCATTCATTAACTGAACAGAGCTATACTTCAATCATCAATGGATAGTCGATGGAAATGCGTAATACTTTCCGTAAGATCATTGACTGTTTTTAAAGAAAACAATTTCGTGACAGACATTGAACTTAAGTTTGTTTGCCAAACCAGTGCCGTTGATGTTGTCGTTGCTATTGTTTGTTTGTTTGTTTTTTTTAACGTGCATGCGCTTTTGTTTCCTACGCGCTCTGTCATTGTAAATTGTGCACTCTGTCTTCAGTACCGGTACTCAAGACCTTGAGCAAACATACTTGGATGTGTTATGTTTAAAAGAACATGTATTCACTCACCGACGTCAGTGAACACGCCTTGTAACTTGTGGCAAGGGGAAATTCCGTTGGTTAGATTATCCCAATCTCAGCGCGCTCGACAAAAAATTTTTGTGTAAAATTGTGTACAATTTCGATCGCTGTTTTTTCCAACTGCAGGTGATGCAAAAAAGAACAATTTTAGAGTGATCTTTTTTTTTTTTTTGACATATGTCCCGGATTTTTTTCATGGGCAATATGATTAACCACTAATGCGCGCTTAAAAGTTCATTCGTCGCTCACACGTACAAGTTAGGTGAGGTGAGCGTATTATGTGAACAATATTTTCACTTTTAAGAAGCAAGAGAAATTTTCATGACACAAGTGCAAGACTGTAAGGTTTCAGCACATAATATACTTTATGGTTGGAATGTGATCTTACCTCCGGGCATCTCGCAAATGAAGGCGTTTTTATCACCCCAAGAGATACTATTAAATAGGCCTCTGTTCTTGGATATTTCCGCTCTATCGTCTCTATCATCTAACTGAGAATCTCGCCATTTCGAAATATTCAGTTGTTCTCCACTCTCCCAAGTCCAAACACCGCCCACCTTCCCTAAACCAATGTGCCACGCACTAGTATTCCAAGTGCCACGCTTTTGAATCTCCTGATTGATAAACTGCCATTCTTCTTCAGTTTCGATGGAGACTAAGTAACCTCCCTGGAGGTAACAGGCATTCCTGTTGCTATACCAATATCTTCCGCTTTTCGAAAATATGTAGCAGGAGTTTTTGAAACAGGTTGCTTGGCACTCTATAAAAAAAATAATAAAGGAATAAATAGACGAAGAAAATATATACTGATTGTAACAATAGTGATAATTCTGATGATGGTATGGAGACAAAAAAAAAAAATAAATAAAGGAAAAAATGTATACTGATGATAACAAGAGTAATAACGATAAAGATATGGAGAAGAAAAAGAAAATTTATACCATTAATGATAAAAAACAATGGGCATCAAAACCCTCTACGTCACCGAAGGAAAAATTAGAATTAGGCAAGGTTTTAAAAGTGGAAATTGGGGAAATCAAGGTAATGGCACCGTTAATCTTTGACCTTTTTGTTTTGCTTTCCAACTAATGTTTTTAATCGCAAAACGATCGATGTCATTGCAGCAGGAAGTCTATAACTAATCATTTTGATAATTCAGTCGGATCCTTTCTTTTCACGTCATTTTAAGATACATAAATATTAAATTGTAATTACACTTCCTCACCTGTTCCTGGCAATTTCATTATCAAATGAAGGATGACTGTGGAAGAGAAAATGGGAAAATAATTTTACTGTTATGTCGATTGTAACATTTGAAACAACAAAAGAGTTTCTTAAATTTCAAGTTAGACTAGTACTAGAGCATTTTATTCGCTACATGCACCTTAAAATCTACCCATGGCTTTTTTACCTTCCCTAAGGAGCTAACTGAGGAATTGAAAGAAAAAAGTGCAGTATTTCCGCAAGCAGCTGAACAAAACTTGTTACCTATCGGACGTCAAGATAGATAGATTAAAAAAAATACAGAAAAAAAAAACAACAACCCAAAAAAAAAAAAAAAAAAGCAAAGAACTAGCAAACATATTTATCTGATGATGTTATCTTCTTTATACACGAAAACAAAATCTCGAACAGCGTTAAAATATTTTTTTTTAATTTTTTTAATTTTTATTATTATTTTTTCATCATAACTATTCCGCTGGTTGCGCTGGTTCTTGGTTCTAAGGTTCCGCAGTCTGCTGACATTCAAATGAATAAAGGGGTAAGTTTCTAAAGAAACTGTGGTGCTGCGTCGGTGGGAGAGTATAGCTAAAGCTTTTTTACCCTTTACGGTGGCTAATTTACGTTTTCAACCCAGTTGTTAACACTAAATTACCTGCTGCTGATATTCAGTTTATTACCACCCCATAATGTTCTTGTTTGTTTTTTCTTTTTCTACACTCAGGCAATTGCGGGAGATCCATTTCGAAAACGGAACCCGCACCGGGTTTTGCGGATGGTATGTTGGGGAGTTCGAAAACCGAATTTCAAGGCAAACCGTATGGTTTAAATTCTCTATTATCGCGTAGTTACGAAACACAGAAGTGTCCCGCATTGTCTCGGGAGACTCGCAGCAAAAACATATTTTGCGGGTAATAGTCGCCCGTACCAGACGGTATTTAAATAATCTGCTGGCCGGCAATTTGGATTGAATTTTTTATTTTTATTTATTTATTTTTTTAAATTTTCAATTATATTTATTTATTTTTTTAGCTCAAAAGCGGCTCGAGCATGCTGCGACAGAACTCGTTAATGGTTCCTGACCGTGTGCCCGTCGCTTCAACCACGAGCTCTTATCCGTTTCGGTGAGTTTCTTCAACCATTCCTCATCGAGTTTCCTCGATACTTGTGCTTACAGCCAGGATTCTTTTTTAGTTTCACCATAGGAATCTTCCCTTTTTTTACCTTTCGCCATTCACAGTCTAGTTTTAAACGCAGACAATGTCACTCTGAACAAGCTTATTGACTGCAAAAATGACTCTTATCAAACGAAAAGGACTCGAATACAGTTCTGCCCTTAAATATATGAAGACTTGAGGTAAAACGTTAACTGATAGAACAGACCTTAGCTAAGAATGGGAAATTCCTAGTGATATTCCCCTGTTCTTATTCTAGCGTTAATACAAGGAGTTTGATTGGTTTGCCGCCGTTACAGAAGAAGAAGCAAACTTTTTCCTTCGAAACGATCGAGCACTGTTAGCGAAAACTGAAAAATCGCAAAGGAAACGTTATCGACGCTAACACGTTTGTGACCAAGATGTTTGTAAAATAGCCTCCACCTGGTGCGAAAAATTGCTGTTTTATCTATTTCTTTAGAACCAATTTTGTTTCCTTGGAGTTGAAATATGACGGTAAAACAGTCCCTAAAAGATTACCTCGATCAAAGCAATTGCAGAGAAAGAAACCACAAAGAGGTGATCAAAACTTTGACGCGGTTCAAAATCGTCCCTTGCATTTCTAATAGTAAACGAGCAACCAAGTAACATTCTTGGAGAGATGCAAATATTACGGCCTCTTACCTTTTTTTTATCTTCAATTTCTATGGTGTTCCTTAACCTTTGAGGATTACTTTGTCATTTTTTTTTTTATTATTATCATTACAATCATTCAGAGGTCAAATATAAATTTATCATATATTTCTAATTTTAAAAACGTTTGGTCCCCGGATAAGGATAACTAAGATAAATTTAGGAAACATACATACAAGTGCACTTTTGAGGTAATCAAGTTATTGTTTGTTTTGATATATATGACGAGAAAAAACGAAAAATTCTATAATTCAGTCGAGGAGAAAATAAATAACATGACAAAATGACATATTAATAAAAAGAAGAATAAAATTTGGATGGAAAATACGAATTGCAAATCAATGTAGCCCAAGAGTACACAAAACACAAAAGCCAGTCCAAAATATGATCGATGAGTTAATATCACAAGACTTTTTTTTGCTTTAGTGGGGTGGAATAAATTCCACGGAAGTGATATACATACACACCCATATTACAAAATATTAATAATAAGGGTTACTGAACACAAATGGCACCGCCGGGTTTAATTTTATCACAGTTTTTCCTTTTTTTTTTAATTGTTTTAGCAGGACTGGAACGACTGATGCTTCATCGAACGACGAAACCCCAGTTAGCCAAAGATGGTAAGAACAAAGCTTTCAGTTCCTTTGATCTTTATGATCACGCGGACGGCACTTCATTTTCAAAACTTCGTAATTGTTTCGTACTGACTCATTGCTTTGAAATCATTTCGAATTGTGTCGTGGCAAAAACTGTATAAAAAAAAATGTTCAAACTCGGCATTCAGCCAGTTTTTTTATGTGATAAAACTCAAGAGCAGACGTTGTCGAGTTCAATCGATTTGTTTTTAGAGAGATGAATACTTGCCACTTGACTTGCGTCTCTCTGGTTTGAAGCGGCTGAGGGTTGCATGATGCCCCAAAACCGACATATTGATATCCCATCATTTATTCCTTAATTAATTTTTAAATTCATTGTCTTCTTTGTTTCTAAAGCATAACCAAGAGAAGTAGTAAAGCTTGTACTTACTCAGCGCACAACGTAAAGACAGGGCTGTGGACATTTTACTGGATTGAATCCCTCTCATCGCACCACCCATCAACTTACTCAATCAAAAGTTGCCGTTAGTGTATGTCGGCACCCTTATAATGGTCCGTGACTCGGTAAAATCACAAGAGCAGCCGATTTTAGTCAACGTTTTTTAAACTATTTTATAGGACGTGAGTGTAATAAACATCACATTCGACCGCTTTTGCTGACATGAGCCGCGAGAGTTCTATTTTTCCACTCGTAAACGGACCAATAAGACTAAAAGCTCTTACACCAGATGCAGAATGCTGTTTTACTTAACAGATGCAAGTGATTCACGACACGAAAATAGCTTCATCAAGCTAAAGTTTTCTTAACGTGGATATGAAAATGGGTGTTTGAAAAAATTGTAAACAACTCAAAACTAATGAGGATCCACTTTTATAGGTAATCGTTATTTGGGAAAAAAATATTATGTCCAACGGAAACTAGCGTAAATATGCCATCTGTTCATCTACGTGCACCCGAAAAGATATAACTGTCATCGATCCATCAGAAGATAAGAGTGTGTGTTTTAGGCCCGCATAATATTGACTTCGAAGGCAGGAATGATTCAGTAATATGTTCGGGCAAGTGTAAGAATGCAAATGAACTACAGAATTTCTCATGTTGAAAAATACTACAGAAAAACAAAACTACAGAATTTCCCAGGTTGAAAAATACATATAAATATATATTCTCTGTTTAGTTAGATCACCTGCTCGATGTGAGTTTTACTGGGTCTTTGAAGTTGATCATCATCGATCTGTTAACGGATCAGAAAACGAAGTGCGGTCGGCGGGAAATAGTTGAGCCCTAAACCTGCATCATTTCCTTTCTCTCACTGCATAACTTCTCCTTTAGGGCACATTTTGTAATGACTGAGTTCATATCTTTGCAGAATGATTACGCTAAGTCGCCAAAGAAAAACCCTGCCTATTTTCTCAGCTACATGCGCGTGTGCTGAACACTAAATTCATATGTAAAGAGCGCTCGGCAAGCGCATGACGGCCTTAGAAAATTTACGTAGCGCGTGGTTCAACAAAAAAAAATTGGAATTTAAGCTAATGTCAGATATTAAATTACATTCTGCTCAATACAGGAGATTTTGATCGCAACATAATTCAACACGGAAGGAAAGGGAACCTTTAACAGGAGTAAGTGATCCTGCGCGAGCTTTATTTTCAAGATCCCGATAAGCAAATCGGCTGTGCAATTTCCCTCCCTTCCGTTGCTTTTATTTTTATCAAAACACGCTAATT